TCTGTAACCTATCTTAAATTAACTTGGGGGGGGTGAGTTGTTAAATTCCATGTTTTTTTTTTTAAAGATTTTATTATTTATTTGACAGAGAGATCACAAGCAGGCAGAGAGGCAGGCAGAGAGAGAGAGGAGGAAGCAGGCTCCGTGCTGAGCAGAGAGCCCGATGCGGGGCTCGATCCCAGGACTCTGAGATCACGACCTGAGCCGAAGGCATCGGCTTAACCCACTGAGCCACCCAGGCGCCCCGAATTCCATGTTTTTCTATATGAATAATCAATTGTCCTAGCACTTTTTACTGAATAGTCCCTCCTGTCCCCAGTGATCCAAAATGTCACTCCCTCATAAGCCACGTTTCCCTATGTGCATTGCTCTGTTCCTGTGATTTTTATTGTTTCATCAGTGTTTTTATCTGTCCCTACGTGAATACACACTGTCCTAATAACTATACTTTTATAACCAATCTTGATATCTATTTTTCTTTCTTCACTAGGACTGTTTTTACTTTTCTTTGACCTTTGCTCTTTCCTATAAAATCATATTTTTTTAAAAGATTTATTCATTTATTTTAGCAAGAAAGAGAGAAAGTGGTGGGGAGGGGTGGAGGGAGAGAAACAGTCCTGAAGCAGGCTCCCCCGCTCAGCCTATGTCCAGCCCACTCGACACGGGCTCCATCCCAGGACCCTGAGGTCATAACCTGAGCCAAAATCAAAAGTCAGCCACTCAACCCACCTGAACCACTCAGGTGTCCCTTCCATGTAAACCTTAGAATCAGCTCATCATCTTCCTTGAAAATCCCTGTTGGGATTTCGATTGGAACTGTTTTTGATTCTCTCTTTTTTTTTTTTTAAGATTTTATTTATTTGAGAGAGAAAGAGAGAGAGAGTGAGCACAACCAGGGAGAGTGGCAGAGGGAGAGGGAGAAGCAGACTCCTCATTGAGTGGGGAGCCGATGTGGGGCTCAATCCCAGGACCCTGGAATCATGACCAGAGCTGAAGGCAGTTACTTAACCCACTGAGCCACCCAGGCTCCCCCTTACCACCGTTTTTTATTCTGAAGACAGCATTTCTTTTTTTTTTTTTTTTAAGATTTTATTTATTTATTTGACAGACAGAGATCACAAGTAGGCAGAGAGGCAGGCAGAGAGAGGAGGAAGCCGGCTCCCCGATGAGCAGAGAGCCCGATGCGGGGCTCGATCCCAGGACCCTGGGATCATGACCTGAGCCGAAGGCAGAGGCTTTAACCCATTGAGCCACCCAGGCAAACAGGCAGAGAGGCAGGCAGAGAGAGAGAGGAGGAAGCAGGCTCCTCCTGCTTCCTGCTATTGCCCCTGAAGACAGCATTTCTAACTTTTTATTATTGAGTATATTTGCCATAGGTTTTTGGTAGCTGCCTTTTAACTGTTTAAGGAAGTTATCTTCCTACTTGCTTATGAGTTATTACAATGAGGGACTGTTGAATTTTAAAATTTTGCAACCGTGGAGATGACCTTATAGTTCCCCCTTAATATGTTGATGTGGTTAATTATAAGAATATATTTCCTAATGTTAAACTGTGCAAACTGTCCTGGCATTCCTGGGATAAACCTGTCTTGGGAATGATGCATCATCTTTTTTATATATTGCTGGATTCAACGTACTAATATTTTATTTAATTCAAGATTTTTACTTCTGTGTTTCTGAGCTAAGCTTTAGGAGTAATAGTGATCTGATCTTGCTTGGTATGGAATTTAGACTGGCCTCATAGACTGAGTTAGGCTCTGCTCTTTCTTTTTCTATTTTCCAGAAGGGCTTATGAGAGAACAGTATGATCTATTCCTTGAAGGTTTAGACTTGTTTCTAGAACCATCATGGCTTAATGTTTTCCTGTGACTAAAAATTTTAACAATTTCTCTAAAAATTATAAAATTTACTTTTCCTATAGTTGACAACTGATATAATTTACAGGCAAATCAAACTTGATATTATGTAGTGATCCTCTCCATCCTTAATGATTTTTGTTAGTCTGTTATCTAATATTAATATAGCTACACCAGCTCCCTTTTGGATACTATTTTTGAGGTATATCATTTGCTGCACTTTTACTTTTAATCTTTCCAGGTTCCTGTGTTTTAGGAATACCTCTTGAGAAAGTGCCTCTTAGATTCTTTTAACATCCCATTTGACAATTTCAGACTTTTAACTGATGAGTTTAGTTAAATTGCTATGATTATTAGTATATCTGAACTTAGTTTTTTTACTCTTTTTTAGGGGGAGGAGTCTCACTTTTTCTACATGACTTTGGGCTGATTAGCATTTGGGTTTTTTATTGACTTACGGCATTTCCCCCCTTCTACTGATTTGAAAGGTATACGTGTTATTCACATTGTTTTAATGAATACCATTGACATTGTGCCATGCATAATTAACAAAGCCAAAGTTAATGTCTTAAGTCCCTTCCCACCACAAATGTGAAGTCATTGGAACCCTTTAATTTTGACCATCTCATTCCTAATGTATTGTTGTCTCCTATTTTCGTTCTGACCTTGTTTAGACCTGAGAATTGTGATTATTGATGTCATTGTTGTTTTATACTGACAGTTTTGTTTAGATTCACTCTATTTGCCCATTTCTTCACTCATTATTCCTCCTTTCACTTTTTTTTTAAAGATTTTTATTTATTTATTCGAAAGCGAGAGCGAGACAGCAAGAGTGGGAACACAAGCAAGGGGAGTGGGAGAGGGAGAAGCAGGCTTCTCGCTGAGCAGGGAGCTGGATGAGGAACTTGATCCCAGGACCCTGAGACCATGACCTGAGCCGAAGGCAGACCACGAAGGACTGAGCCACCCAGGCGCCCTCACTGCAATTCTGAATCGGGTTGTTTTTCTTATTTCTGAGGTATACCTTAGAAGTTCAATTAGTCAAATGTTCCAGTTGTAAATTCACTTTATCTGGATGTCAGCCTCATTCCTGAAAGGCTGGGGATCCAATTCTCAGGTCTTTGGAGATATTCTTCAACATCTTTTAGCTTCCTATGTTGCCATTCAGAAATTTGCTGGCAATCTAATTCCTTCCTTTGGGAATAAACTGTCTTTTTTTTTTTTTTTTTAAATCTCTAGTTGCTTTTAAGATCTTTTCTTTGTTTTTAGTATTCTGCAGTTTCACTACAATATTTCTTGGTGTGGGTTTCTTATCATTTTTCCTGCTTAGGATATATTATGCTTCCTAAATCTGTAGAATTATGTCTTTTTTTCTGCTCTTGAAATTCTCACCCATTACTACCTCGAGTATGGCCTCTCCCTTCTTCTCTCCTTTGATGCTGCTTAAATGGATTTTAGATCTCAGTCTGTTCTCCCTGTTTGTAAGATCTTTCATATTTTTCATTTCGTATCACTGTGTTGCATTCTGATTAATTTCTTCAGATAGTTCTTCCAAATCACCCTATTTGGTTAATTATGATCTATGAGAATCCTGAACAACTTGCTCTTTGATGAGTACATTGTCCCTGAAGCTCTGAGAACAATTCGATGGGAAAAAGAAAAAAAAAAAGAAAAAACAATTCAATGAAGCAACTCTGTAACCTGAACGATGAGGTAGCCAACAACTTAGAGAGAGATACTCCAGTCCAAGCCAGGGACATTGTCCTTGACTCTGGATGGATTCCAACAGTCTTGACTTAGACTGGTTTTACAAGGTGGCCTCAAAGATGTTCCTTTGCCACATCTCTGAGGCTTCTTGTCCATGACCCATTCTTAAAATTCAAGATCCGCCCAACTCAGCCAGGTTCTGCCAGTCTGAAGGGTTTGACAGGCAGGAGGCTGCCTTTGGGGTGGATTTAAATATGAAGAGAGTCCTGTTGGGCACTGGTCCCACCTAGGTCTAGACTAAGAGGCAGAAAAGGAAGCCATAGATTTGGGATAGCAGAAGACATCAAGCCCCAACACCTCACCCCACATACAGTGCTCAGTACCTAGTAAGTGCTCAGTAAATATTTACTAAATCAATGAATAAACAATTAGATGGAAGAAGTCCATAGAGCAGTGTGGGCCCAAAGGGAATTAATGAAAGTTTCCTGGAGGAAATGACATTTAAGTTGAGGCATGGAAAAGAGGAAGTAGTCAGGCCAAGCAGAAAAGGAAGAGTTCCTAGTAGAGGGAACAGCCCATGCAGAGGCCAAAGTGGTAGAATTCAGCCTGGATGCCCTGAATAGAAGATGATGCTGGAGTGGGAAACTGAGGCCAGCTGCTCAAAAATCCAGACTCTGTGGCAAATAAGCTAGTCAGACAACTGTTTGAATTTAATGGGTGGTAATTTTTATGCTCCGCTGATTTTATTATTTTTTTAATTTTTTTGCCTAATGAGATTTAACTGTCCTTAAAAAGAAGAAATGACCATAAAATCTTTAAAAAAAAAAAAAGAGAAGAAGAAGAAGAAGAAGAAGGAGAAGGAGAAGGAGAAGGAGAAGGAGAAGAAGAAAAGAAGAAGAAAGAAGAAAGAAGGAAGAAGGAAGAAGGAGAAGAAATGACCATAGGGGGGGATTTAATCAGTGGTGACTGAAAGCCTTTCAAGACTGCCATTTTGCCCCCGAAGCTTTGGAGCCAGGTGCCGGGTCTGAATTCCCAATTCTGTCCTTTACAGGCTCAGTCCATGGGCAAGCTCCTCACCTTTCTTCTGATAAAGGAAGCCAATCACAATGCCCACCTTACAGGATTAAAAGAGACAACATGTGTAAGGCAGCGCTGCTAAGCATGCCTGTGAACCTGGGCCTGTCCCTCTGAGCCCTCTGAGAGCAGAGATCCAGTCACTTTGACGGCGCGTGCCGCCAGCCCCAGGAACCAGCAGGTGCTCGGTAAACAATGAACCAATGCCTCGACGAACTCTGGCATCTCCGGATGGAACTGTGGCTCCTCGGGTCCCCACCCCTTCCCCGGCCCCCAGAACTCTTTAGGGGCGGGGCGGGGCGGCGCGGGGCGGAGCGGCCGGCTCTGTGCTCCGCCCTTGGCGCGGCGCGCGAACGCAGTAGGCGCTGGAGCTCTGGCCCGAGCTCTTGAATGCTCGGAGGCAGGTTGCGGAGGTCGGGGTGTGCGAGACCCTCACTTGCCCCTCCGGGTTGAACGCTCGGAGCGGCGGAGCCGAGCAGCTGAGGGTTCTCGTGAGGGGTGGGTGGTAGACCGGACTGGACAGCCGCGGAGCCGCGCGAGGGGCCGGCGCGGGCGGAGCCGGCTTTTCTGTCGGCTGACGCAGGCCGCCGCGCCGCGCCTTTAAGGCGTCCTGCAGAGCCCGGCGCCGGGAACTGAGCGGCGCGGGCACGAGCGCTGCTGCCGGACGCGAGCGGGACTGGGGGCCGAGGACCGGCGTCCGGATCCCGCGGCGCGACCCTTGCGCCTGAGGTCAGAGAGAGTGTGCGCCCGCGGGGCGGGCTGGGGCAGGGGATGCGCTCCTGAAGGTGGGGTGTGTGTGTGTGTGTGTGTGTGTCCGAGGTCTCTCCCTTCGGGCCCGCTGACCCACCCTGCGCTTCCCGAATCGGGGCTGCCTGGTCTCCCTGCAAGCGGAACACCGGGCGAAATGGGTCGGGGACCTGCGCCTCTCTTTCTACTCGGTTCCCTCGCTCCGGCATCAGCCCTAGCGCGCTCCCCTGCAGTGCCTGGACAGATTGGATATTCCCGAATCTAGATGCCCTCACTCCCCGGGCTGCCTACCGCCTAAGCCCCGGGACAAGGTGAGGATGGGTCGGGGACCCATCCTCTTTCTACTCCGCCTCCCACCTCTGGCTCCGGCACCAGCCCCTGTGCGCCCCTCCTGGTGCCTGGATGGTTTGGAGGCTCCTGCACCCTCGTTTTACCACTTCCTGAGGAAAGGCTGCAGTTCGACCTTCCAGCTAATGGTACCTACCCCCGTCCCGCCCCATATATCAGCGCCCCTCGGGACCTCTCCCAGCCAGTACCTACTCCCAGGCGCCTTTAGCTCACCTTTCCTCAGTCTGCCCCAGTTCTCTCGGCCTCATGCCCTCTCCTCCCGCCAACCCTCGAGTTAGGATCCTGGTCCAACCACCCCGACAGCCCGGTGCTGCCCCACAGCCCCCAGCATCCCCCGCCTACACCTTCGCTGCCTTCCTGGCAGCCTTGGAAACTGGGATTGTGTAACGCTGGCTGCAGGGCAGAGCACATGCAAGCTTTGCACCCCTGTACCCGCATTCGAGTGAGGAGGCCAAGTTGAGAGAGTGAATGAAATAGGGAAGAAGGAAGAGGTTGCAGGGGTTGGGGGCGTCTAGAGGCTGTGCAAGCTGGGGTAGGTACCTGGAGCCCTTCTTATGCCTCAGAGTCTGGTTGATTAAGAGGAGGTCTCAGCTTGGACTGGAGGTCAGCATTTTCCTCTCCTCTCCCTCATGGCTAGTCTACCTGGTTGGAAGTTAAGAGTTTATAATATTGTAAGTAATAGCTGACATAGAATATGCAGGTACTGGCTGCTGGACCCTGGGTCCGGCACCTTTAGAAGATTACCCGCTTTTCTTCTCCCAACATCTCCATGCATGAGGGAGGTACCAATGTTATGCCCATCTCTCAGAGGAAGAATGTGTCCCCTTCCCAGGACACACAGGGAATCTGACCTCAAAGCCCCTATTCTGAACCATTAGACTTAATTTTTACCCAATTGTAACTAATAAATTTTTATCAACATTTTTAGAACATAGAAAGTTAGAAATATGAGAAATTGATAACCTGTGTTCTTAGCACCAATTTTTCTAAAAGTGGGTTCTCAGACCAGCAGGGGGTCCTGGGTGTCCTCCTTGGGTAGACTGATGCCCAGAGAGAAGGGGAATGCTGGAGGCCCCACAGCTAGGAAGTACCGGGGCTGGGATGCTAAACATGTCCTGGGATGGTCAGTCCTTACTTCCTGCGCTCCCAGTTCTGCCCCAGCCCATCAGCCTAGGCCCCTGGAGATTCTCTTCCCTCCCCTGTTTGCATCCTGATCTCCCCCTTCCCTCTCTGCTTGCTTTGCTCTAACCCAGGCAGGTGAGCTGCTGCCTTTGCTTAGGCTGTCCCCTCCTTTAGGAATGCCCTCCTTGGAATCTGATGTAGCTCCAGCTCAGCAGTTCCCTCCGGGAAGCACCTCTGATTCCTCCTCTTATAACTGGGATCCTTACCTTCTACCCCCCATTATGGCATTTGAGAAGTTCTAGCTGCATGTGTCTGCCTATGCTTTCTGGTGCACCTGTGCTGGCAGGGTCGGAAGCACTCCCCAGTACCCGTCTAACCATCTGCCCGGTGGAGCCCCAGGACAAAGAGAGAGAGAGAGAGAAAGAAAGAGGTCCATGGGGGTATGGTGTGGTTTCCAAAGTAAGGATAGGCTCAGAATTTCTGAACCCCACACCACCAGACTCCCTTCATTGAGCTACAGCCTGATCATGGGAGAATGGCTCAACATGTCACCCGACATTATAATTACATACTGTGCTTTCGTTTTTAACCCAGAGGATTCCCACCAGAAAATCAGAAACTTGGGTCCAAATCCCTCTGCTTCCACTGCTAGCTGTGTGGCCAGGGGCCCATTACCTCACCTCTCTGAGCCTTAACTTCTGGTAATGGCACCCGCTTCAGAAGGCAGTGGGAAGATTTAGATAAGATAAAGCACACAGCCCAGCGTGTGCTGAGCGCTCAGTGAGGAGCAGCTGTTATGAAAAGTATGAGTGTTGGCCCCCACTTTGAATTACTAGAGACATTAAATCATTACTCAATGACTCACACTGACTCTGCTTAGAGGTGGGCCACAGGATCCCACCAAAGGAGAGGAAAGCATTTTTTTTTTTTAAAGATTTTAAGTAATCTCTACACCCCACGTGGGGTTTGAACCCACAACCCCACAATCAAGAGTTGCACACCACCGGCTGAGCCAGCTAGGTGTCCTGAGGTAAGCATTTTGTGTGTGTGCTCAGAAAGGCCTGTGACCCTTTCTTCGACTCTAAACCATCCATTGCCTTGGCAAAAAGAATCGTCTTTCTGATTTTTAGCTTTAAAAATCTATGAGCTTTGGGTTTTGTGAGGCTTTGCACACCTAGAGTGAGTGTGTGAATGCAGTTCGTGCACTTGTAAGTAACTGAAACTTACTGATACGAGAGGAAAAAAAAAAAGCTTGTTCTTAGAGGTGACCTTGGTTTGCACTGTGTGTTGGTTCAGGCTTATCTTGGGGGTGAGAGGTTTGAATCAAAAGATTTGGAGTGAAGGAAAGCTGGGGTGAGTGTTTTTCCCTAGTATACTGGTAAGCGGTGCAGAGTAGAATTCACCTTCCGTGTCATGTTCTTTAACAACTCCTGGTTATTTTGGTGATTAGATCACTTTTTTACAGTGATGAGTATTCAAAAGTAAAGGACCAGGAATGTCTCCTTCAAAACTAAGTGTTTGGAATATGCGGGGAGGCCAGCTCTGCAGGTTGAAAAAAAAATTTTTTTTAATGTCAGGATCCTAATGTGACTTTTAAGATAAGTTAGGATCTCGTTTGATAATTTTAAGACTGTTAAGGTATTCTAAGGCACATATTTTTGTAAATTTTCATTGTTCCATGGCATTTAGCAGGCTGTGGGACTTTATTTCTGTGACCCTGCAGGGACACAAATATTTTTCGTGCTATTAATATGGTGGCCATCAAATTCAAATTCAGTGAAATTTAAAATTCTTTTCTTAAGTTACACGGGCCATATTTCAAGTGGTCAATAGCCATGAGTGGCCAGTGGCTACTGTATTAGGGAGAGCAGATAGAGAACATTTCCATCTTCCCAGAAAGCTTTATGGGAAGGCACCATTTAGATCGATAAGGCCATGGACAAACTGCATGATTACAGGGTTAAGTTCCATTCTTTCTAGCAAGTCATCTGCAGGCCAAGAAATGGAATGTGCTGAGGATGTCTCCTTGTCAAGGATAAGGATATTACTTAAATCCCCTTAACCTCATTCTGGTTTTCTAGTTCACTGGCTTTTAACACTGCCAGATTCAGAGGATGGGGAGATGGAAGCAAATGCAGTGTCTTCCGGCAATGCTTCTCCATCTTGGCTGAATGTTAGAACCGCCTAGGGAATTTTTTTTAAAAAATACACCTGTCCAGCCTCTGGCCCAGGCCCATTGAATCTGAATCTGTGAGGCAGGTATCCTGGAATCTATATTTTTAAAACGCTCCCTGGGAGATTCTGTGCAGCCAGGGTTGAGAACAACTGCCTTCAAGACTGTGAACCTAGGGGAAAAAAAAAAAAACAACAACCCTGAGGACTGGAAGATGTCATTTTAAGGCAGGTATAGTGAGTGGCTAAGAATGTTCCTCATTGATTTACTATGGCAGTAAATGCAGCGTTGGAGTTGAATGGTCTCACTTCTCCGGAAGGGCTCTCAACTGAGGGCAGCTTTGCCTGCAGGTGCATGTGTCAATGTCTAGAGACACTTCTACTTGTCACAACTTAGGGGTAGCTTCGAGTGGCTAGAGGCTCCCACAGGCGGCTAAATATCCCATTTGCATAGGACAGCCCCCCACAACAAAGAGCTATCCGTCCCAGAATGTCCATCATGCCACAGTTGAGAAACCCCAATCTAGATGCAATTTTTGCAAACCCAAGTTGTCTCTGACCTTGGATATAGTTGTCTTCAAAGAAGATCAGGGTATTCTCCTAAACTGGGCCCTCAGAAAACCTTTTTGATCCATCTTCCAGGCTTTCCAAACCCAGAAGCCACGGAGGGGGTCGCTGCCTGTATTCGGATGTGTTTGGGGCTGCACCAGGGAGACTGCTGATTCAGGGGGACAGGGCAGCCTGTGAAAGGTGTGGGCAGAGGATCTCACACTGCAGCAGGTTGGGATCCTATTCTTTTGTTAAGTAATTATCCATAGTAACCGCAGCCTTTGCCTCAGGCTGTTTTCCAGAGGCTGTGGCTCTGTGACTGTTGGCATGGGGTGTTTGCCATGGGGTGTTTGTCGTGTGATATACTCAGGACAAGATTAAGCCTTGTATGTGGTGAAATTTGGGACCGGAGCTAGGGGCCAGACTGTGGGAGTATAAAAGTTAGCGACACAGACGTGTGTGAAGACTCAAGTGTCCGAGAGCCCCTGGCACAGTGGCACTGTGAGGGGAGAGGGGAGGTGGAGGTGTGGCTGGGCTCCCTCCCTGGGTCTTGGAGGGCTGTTGAGATCTTTCCAGCTGTCCAGAGTAAGGACTTGCTATCTGCCAGTCACTGCTTTGAGCAGTCTCCATGCACCGTCTCATATTGTCCTTTTACCGAGGCCCTAAGAGGTGAAGTGACTTTGCCAAGGTCACACAGCAGGTCAGTAGCAGAGTAGAGATTTGAACCCAGGTTATAAAACTACAAAACTGAATCCTCAGAAGAGGATTTACAGACGGGCTTTGCTTCATGG